TTATAATATTTGGTATTTTGGCTTATTGAAGGTGGCGTAGATATCACTATGGTTACCTTATAATCTTTTAATTATTTAATAATCATTGGTGTAAAAAGAAATAAGACAACTATATCAAAATCGGTCCGCCTTAGAAAGAGTTTAACGCACAGAAGATATATAATTATATGTATAAAGACAGGTTGCATGAACAATATAAAAATCCTTGTACCCTACGATATCGGCCATACATACTCATTATGGTCGTTTTTAAACTCAAAACAAATTACGAAACTAACTCAGGAACTGCATAAAAAACTTACTGAAACTATGGATATCATAAGAATGACTTATGTACCATCGAGTACTTTCTTCAATATTTGTAAACGCTATACAGTCATAACCCTATTTGCTTTGCTTCAGTAGAAGTTCCGTACAATTTTTCGCACACAAACAAAACCGAGGTATAACGTACACGCAATAATATTTTCATGTACCAGCTTTGCAGCTGTTCGCATTATTCAGTCTTTAAACTTTTCTTTTTATAAAACTTTGTATCTGGGTTCGCAAAAAAAGGCAACAAACTTGCCTTAAAAGTACTAAATGGTATACGTTTAATTTAATTTTCATCGAGTTCTTTGTTGAGTTTCCGACCTTTGTGTTCAATAAAAATATTTGCAAATATTGAATTGCTTAATGAATTGGAGAGTTAAACTCTCTTTGGTTTGCTTTTTTTACTACTTTATTTGAAAATAGATTTTACGTGCGAATCTCAACCCTGAAATCACGTCATTGATATTTCAACAAGTTACCTAATAGTTTTTTGCATATGTAACTTAACACTTAATAACATACGTACGGAACAGGAAAACATCATTGAGAAACCAGTGTTTTGATTCACCAAAAAATATGCGGCATGTAAAAAAACATACGACACAAGAGGCTGATTACCATTATGTACAGAAATAAAAAACAAATAACAGATACAGAAATTTGGGGCTAAATGGTTTGGTTAAAGGGCTCCAATGAAATTTAAAAATATATAGCATACATTTAAATAAAATTCCATACTTTTTAATAAAAATAATAGAAATATTATTCAATTAATGTAATATGTGAACAAATTTCGCTATAATTGTATTAAGACATTTCAACATTTACTGTAGTAGTAACAATATTAATAAAATTAAACTTATAAACATAAACTAATAATAATAAAATAATATACATTGAAATAAATAACGAAACTTAACATAAACTAAAATATATCATTAAAAGGAGTCCCTTTAGGCAAGGTTCCGAAGATACTGGCAGCGTTCCCCCTTTGAATTGCTAGACTAATTCTTTGTCCGAGGTAGCTGCCAGATCTTCGGTATCCTGATGATATTAAATGGAATATGATGCAAAATGATGATATTGAATGCGTAAAAAATGGAAATAAAGCAAAAACAAAATAAAATAAAATTACGTAAAAGTCTAAGAAACGGACAATTTAATAGTGGTCAGACAAAATTTGCTTATGCCTAAACCTGAACCCTTTTTTCTCAGTGCTCTTGCTTGTGCTCTTTATGCTTTTGCTTGTGCTCCTGCTTCTTCTTGTGTTGTGCTCCTGCTTTTGTTGTGTTGTGCTTGTGATGCTGTGTGTTTATTTTATTTTCATCCTGTGACGAAACGAAGAGTTACCAAAACCAGCAGCCTTCATTTTTATTTTTGATCTTGTCCTATTTTTGGTTATGTGTCCTTTTTAAGTTACTTTTTTGTGTTTTTAAATTTGTTTTAAGTTATTGTTTTTTTTATGTTAGTTTATTAACTGTTGTGAATGCAGGCCGTGACCCTATCTTGTGATGGCACGTCGATGCGTCCCATACATGTACATTTTGCAACAAGTCTTTCAAATCTTTGAAAGGCCTCAAAATACACATTTCTAAAACACACAGGAACTGTATTAGCCAAACCAGTTCACTTTTAGAAATCCATCCCATTATTCCGAGTGCGCCTACTTTTGCAGCCAAGCTCCAACTCCTTTTCATACATTTAGCCATTTGAAAAATAGTATACCCATTGTTAAAAGAATCCCTCGCGGAGCACTGAATAACTGTTGCTACACATTTGTCAAAATAATCCAGAAATGTTATATAAGCAATTGTACTCAAGACTGGCAGAACTTATTTTTATTTTCATACAGTACACTATCACATAATAAAAACTGATGAACCGAATTTATCCCTGACACAAAAGATAAAGAATAACTGTGCTGTAAGTTTCCTCACCTTCTCCCGCACCTCTAATTAAACATGATGCCCCTTTTAATCGCAAAAAACTCATCGAGAACAAAATTTGTGACGGAGATCTTAAAGGTGCCGCTCGTCTTTTGTTCTCCAATGACGTGCTATCGCCAGATAGCCTGACACCCTTGAGGCATTACGGACTAAACATCCCCCAGCTCCAGTAAACCCATATTTTTCTCGACCCACCAACATCAGAGGCAAGCATGCCTTAAAATTCGAAACAAAGATGTAACTGATGCAATTTTATCTTTTAAACCAGGTTCGCAGCAGGATTGGATGGAATCTCACCCCAACATTTGAAAGATTTAACATCGATTCTGTGGGTGATGAGGCGAGCAACTTATTAACTCGATCACAAAATTAATAAATTTTATGTATTCCGGGAAGTCAATACAGAAATTGTTCCCATTCTTTTCGGCGCGAACCTCATTGCCTCACTAAAAAGGACGGAGGGTGAGACCAATTGCTGTTGGTTCAACACTAAGACGTCTGGCTTCCAAAATTGCTGTTCGACATATTTTACCAAAATTAAATTCAGAATTTGAACCTGTACAGTTAGGCTTCGGTGTGAAAGGAGGGTGTGAGGAGCCGTCCATGCCCTACGCTCTTTCCTAAGTAGGAAGCCAGACGTGTTGCTCAAAATTGATGTGAAAAATGCATTTAATTCGGTAAATAGGGAACCCTGCTGACTGAAATAAAACAACATATACCGGAAATATACAATTATCTTCTTCTCAGTTACGCTGATCCAACTAAATTGTTATATCGTTCTAATGAACTTTCCTCGGAAGTAGGTTGTAAAGGGTGATCCCTTGGGCCTGCAATTTTTAGTTTGGCTATAAATCCCATAATCAAAAATTTAAATTCTAATTTCAATGTTTGGTATTTGGACGACGGAACCCTAGGAGGTGATGTGGATACTGTGTTTTCGGACCTTCTTTTAATCAAAAAAAATTGAAGCCATTGGTTTGGAGCTTAATTTTAACAAATGCGAACTTTTCATAAATAACTGCGACTTAAATTTAAATGATGTAAAAAAAAATTTCAAATTTTGGCTCCAAATATTAAAATAGTTAAAGAATTCCCTTTACCTTTTAGGTTCTCCAATTTTTAATGAATCTATTTCTGATTATATCAACTTCAATTACTAAATTTCAAAATTCTGCTGACCGTCTCCTTGAAATTAGTCCACATTATGCACTTTGCATCTTAAAATTCTGTCTTTTCCTCCCAAAATTTACGTATGTGTCCGTTGCTGCTCCTTTTGGAATCACCCAGTTTTTAACACCATTAGACGACTTAATCAAAATTAGCTTAGAATCACTTCTTAATATGCAGCTGAACGAGCAATCTTGGACCCAAGCTTCCCTACCCATCCGTTATGGTGGTTTAGGGATTCGCAAAATTTCAGTGTCGCTTTACCAGCCTTTCTATCTTCTGTCTATAGTTCAGCAAATCTCATAAGTAAAATTTTAAGGGCATCCCCTTCAAACTTTGAGATTGCTGGCTTGGAAGAAGCTAGAAACGCTTTCTTGATTGCATGCCAGGTCAAAATTTTTCCATTATCTCTAAATTAAGAGGAGCTGGGATGACATACACTGCAAGTTGACTTTTGACGATCTTTTGAGTCGTAGTACAGGTTCGGCGCGTGTAGGCTTTTGGCCGTGGGCACGCATGAGGCCGGCTACTGGCTTCACGCTTACCCATCGTCAAATACAGGAACTTTTCTTGAGCCTGATAGCTTCGAATCGCAACCTGTCTACGGCTTGGGGTACCGGTCTGCGCTCCTCATATATGTCCCTGTGGCAGTGAGTCGACAAGTTAGGACATCACGGCCTGTATGCCAAAAGTGCAGGCCGCTTCACGAGACATGCCGCACTTAACGATATCATACGGTTCCTTGCCACCGTCAACGTGCCAAGTCTTCTTGAGCCAAGTGGTATTGCAAGAGACGATGGCAAGAGACCGGACGGTATGAGTTTGATTCCATGGAAGATGGGTCGGGTACTGGTATGGGATGCAACCTCAGAACGCTGGCCCCTTCCCATCTACATGGAACCAACTACAGAGCTGGTGCGGCTTGTGAAGCGGCTGAAAAAAATAAAGCAGGCAAATACAGGGGTCTGGGCTCTGAATATGATTTTGTCCCATTCGGTGTCGAGACCGGAGATTCGGTGTCCGTGGGGTCCTAGCGCTTTAAGGCTTTTTAAAGAAATTTCAAAAAGGTTAGTCGACATCACAGGAGACCGAAGATCTGGCAGCTACCTCGGACAAAGAATTAGTTAGCAATTCAAGGGAACGCTGCCAGTATCTTCGGAACCTTGCCTAAAGGGACTCCTTTTAATGATATATTTTAGTTTATGTTAAGTTTCGTTATTTATTTCAATGTATATTATTTTATTATTATTAGTTTATGTTTATAAGTTTAATTTTATTAATATTGTTATTCAATTTATATACAATTCACGTTTAGGCTCCATTGGCATTATTATGGCGTTCACGGTTCGGTCTCGCTCCGGTCTCGGTCCGTTCACGGTCCGGTAAAGTATTCGTAGTTAAGTAAGAATCAGAGTATTTTCAGTAGTGTAGACACAGAAAGATTTAATTGGACAGAGACCGGAGCGAGATCGGACCGTGAACGGCATCATAGTACCAATCGAGCCATAGACTCCAAACTCAATGACAAAGACAATTGAATATACCTATATGTTTTCTGTCATAAAATTAATTATTATGAAAAAAATTCGATTGGATGACTGGTCAGTCATCAGGACTGGTTGGTTGGTTGGTTTGTGGACTCGTTTTCCGCACTTAGACGCTCACTAGGTCCGTTGTACGTGAGCCCTGGCTAACTAAGCCAGCCTAACTCCTTCCAGAAGCACAGAAGCTTCCTGGGTACTTCGCAGGCTTCACGGAGCGACCTCACTGTTCCGAGGATTTCTGTACGTTGTTTAGCCACAGCCTCGCATTCCAGGACTACGTGGGTGACTGTTTCCTCTGCGTTGAAACAGCCTCTGCACATGGGGCTGTCTGTCGCGCCTAGGACATAAAGGTGTTTATTAAGGAGGCAATGGCCCGTAATTGTCCCTATCATTATTTTGAGGTTATTTCTGTTGCTTAGTCATTCTCGTGTTAGCCACTGGCAGAACCATTTTGGATTGCCTGCAGTCCACACTTGATGACCAACGTTGGTGCTGGAGTTCCTCAGATCTCTGGCGAATCCATTTTCGCACTTGCGAGAAGGGCAAGGGTAGGAGCGGATACGGGCCAGCGGGCAACATTTCCGAGCCTCTTCTCGCAAGCTCATCGGCTGCATCATTGCCGAGAGATCCACTATGTCCCTTAATCCACTGTAGGGTAACTCTGTTTGCCAGGGCTATTGCCTCCAGTGCATTGTGACACTCCAGCACCAGTTTGCTGTTTGTCGTGTTACCCCCCAACGCCATCAGCACAGAGGCGCTATCGGATACGAGCTTAATACAAAAGTCATTAACTCCTAACCGCTTTACGCCTCTGGCAGCTTCTGTTAGGGCAACACACTCGCATTGAAAAATCGAACTGTGTGTGCCTAGAGGTAGGTGTGTTTTGATGTTGAGATCTTGAGAGAATATGCCAGCACCGGAGCCACCAGGACTGTAAATATATAATATTTCAAAAATATTTGGTAAATTTCTAACACAAATATTAAGGACTTGACGGATAATAAATGTAAACAAGGAAAAACTGAAAAAAATGCGTAAACACCATTTCTGCCACGGATATTAAAAGTTTACTCACAAGATTATTTTTGAATTCCATTTTAATTAAAACCTAAGGAGTTCTACGATTTGACATGTATTTTTTGTAGATCCAAACGAACCGTACATTGGCTACCCACCACCCCCTATGCCTTTCGTTGGCATCGATCCATTACCATCCACGTACCCTGAGCCTGTTGAAATTCCGGAACCAGTAGAAGTCGTTGATGGTAAGTACGCTTATTTCTAGGATTTATCGAAAGAAGATGTTGTAGTAGTTTTTTTGCAACAATTGGATTATGATCATATCTAGATATTTATATAGTAAGAGTAACTTATATATTAAAGCCAAAATATACTAGTGTTTTACCTTCGTACTTGATTGCGATAAATATAATATTAGATCACATTTGGTGCATACTATTTATTTTACCACTTATACACATAATTAATATTAATATTTTTCTTTTAAGGACGATTTAAGTATTTAATATTATTATTATATTAATAAGATATATTAATAAGATTTTGGCAGCATTGCATTTTAACTGCTTTTATCCGATGTGTTGATCACGTGATAGTACAATTTTGTGGTAAGCGGGGAAAAATATGCCGTTTTCAATGTTTGTATACACATATGCCTTTTAGTTTATTTTCCCTCTGTAAATTCTAGAGTCATCTGATGATACGTGATACCGTAGCCCATAGACTCACGTACCAGAAAGCTCGCAAATGCGTTACCCATCTTTAAGAATTTGTACGCTTGAGTCAAATTGGTTCGGAATTTAGAATGAGCTCTATGAAAAATCTAAGATTGATCGGATTATCCATGTAACAGTTACTCAGATATTTTTGTTCAAATCGACTCTTAAAACCCTCAAGTGTCATCCTTGAATCACGATTCATTTTTTTCATAGCACCTGCAGTTGACTGGGCACCAGCATCTCGTCAGACCGCTTACACCCTTATGAGTCGTGCATATTTAGCTGGTAAAGAGGGTTGGGATCGCAGCCCGTTATGGGCCATTAGGTCGTACGTAGAAAATGGTCTGATTCCTGGCAAGCTAGCTCTCAAGCACGGTGCGGCATACGTACCTTTACGTGGCAGGGAAGTGCCCGTTCACGATTTTGAGGTATAGTAGTTTAAAATTTAAGTATTCTATTTATTTATTTATAAAAACACTCCTGCTCTAACAGGCGACCCTAAATTGACAAGAGTGTAAAAAAAATATACGAAATGAATTAGGAAAAACAGATTATTTAAGAAGACATTAAAAAATACAATAAATTATCTAACCACTATAGGCACTAACAAATAATAGAGCTATTGCCAGTTCACTCAACGGACAATGAAAAAGGTCCGTTAACCTATGTAATTCGTTAACTAAATTAATACACCGAATCATATGTGCCGTTTTCAGAAGGTTAGTCCTTGCTGTGGGCACATTATTTATCGTCTTTGTAATATTTTTTAAAGTCCTCTGTAACTCACAGGTAGCGATTGCGATCCCAATTTGAATGTTTAGTTGTTGTACCGCGCGATTGAAATTTGCGTCATTAGCCCTACGGATTTTCAGAGAAAATTTACATAGAAGTTCTGCTTCAAGGTTGCGACTCTCATATGTCGTAGAGGGCAGGTTCGATCCCTGGCTGTACTCGAACGGACTTTCTTTGTGTGCAATGCACACGCGTATACGTCGCTTGTGCGATGTTAACTAACCGAACTATTGTGGTCTCTGGCAGAATGATCAGCCCTGTGGAACACGTCTGCTCCACAGCAAAATACTAAGCCAGGGCCAGTTACAACCACAACACACACACATTACACACTTAAAATGTTCCTTAAAAACACTTCTTTTTGTTATGTGTGTTTCTGAGTGTGTTTCGTTAGTAATAAATTTTATGTCTACGTAAGAAAATATCATAAGGATACTGGCTCAAAACCAAAAATCGACATGGGTTAGACTGAAGGCTGATAACCATATAGAAATGATCAGAAAAATGGATGCAATCCGAGGCTTAGATCCACATAGGATTGTAACGCAACTAAATTATTATTATAACATACATTGAAGAAACATCGCTATCGACATCGGTATGTTACAATGTACCGATGTTGTTTATCAACGACATTCTGCATTTCGATCCTGTCCATATGTTCTAGGGGAAAATTTCAAGATGCTATATCTTCAAATTAGTTCAATTAATTGCACTCTTTTGACTAAAGCACCTTCCATGTACCTTTTTGTCACATTAATTAACGTTAAGATAAAAAGAGACCATCCAGGTATTACGTTAAGACGTTACAATTATACTGAAAAATATATTCGTATAATTAAGATCACATCTGTATAATGATCTGGATAGATCTAGATGACCATTCTTGTGATGGTGATGGGTAAAGCTTCCGATGGCTCATTTTAGGTCCTTTGCGCACAACCAGGAGCAGTCCAGTGGGTACCTACAATGGATGACACGATTCCTGATGGGGCTATACCAGCCGGAAATACCGGTGATGGCGAGCCACTTTACCTTGGTAGAGTTAAACATAGAGGTTCTCTTACTCCAGGAAAAGTAAGTTTACCATATAAATATATAACTAATAACTCATAACAGGGAATTTGGGTCTTGTTTGCGTTTTCTAATAAAACAGGGGACAAATGGGCAGGAGGCTCATCTGTTAAGTGATACCGCAGCCCACAGACACTCAATCTACCAGGTGGCTCGCAAGTGCGTTACCGAGCTTTCAAGAATTTGTACGCTCTTTTCTTGAAGAACCTCAGTCGAATTGGTTCAGAATTTAGATTGATTACTCTTGATTTGAATCTGTAAATCGTAGTTAAATCGTTGGGTTGCGTGAACGGTTACAGTTACTATAAACACATATAGAACGGAATTAATATAATATAGAAATAAAAATGTGTTTATTCATTATAAGTAGGTACATATGCATTACAATGTGTAAGATTTGGGAACTCTTTTGAGTAAAAAAATACCTGTCCCAGGGTTCCCAGCACTTCCATAACAAACTTAATTATAAATTCCTTAGAAATATATGTATATAGATATAATTTGCATTTATTTTATTTATTTTAGTTTTTGAATTTTTAATTGTTTTCAACACGCCTGTTGTATGAGTGAGTGAGTGGGAAATGCTTCTCTTTTAGTTAAAAAAAAGTATATTTATATTTTAAGATTAACTTGTTATAACATTTTTATCGTAAATATTTTATTTAATTCCTATACTGTTTTATACATGATATATCAAATCCATACATCATTCATGACAAGTATTTTTTTCCAACCAGCTTAAACAGCTACTATGTACACGAGTGTAAAGGACAAATTTAAAGAAAAAATACAGTTAAAAAAAATTGAGGATTTTTTTATTTTTTAAAATTTAAATTTTATACATCCCGCCTCTTCTCAGGTATAGGCAGAGACCAACTCCACTTGCTACGGTCCTGACATGCCTCTTGCGCTTCATCCACCACAACTTTTGTTTACGTTTATAGAATGTTTAGCCAAATATTGTATCCTCTCTAATTGGTTATTCATCGAGCCACACGGATCGTCCCGTGTAATTTAATATAAATTAGCGACTGATCAAAATTGATTCGGCAAATATCAAGTATTTTGACCTATAGGTCACTAATTGTTAATTATATAAAGTATTTAAAGTGTGTAATATACCAAACCTATTAATGATAAGGCAATAGATTGCAATTTATGAGTAATCTGTAAGATAAAATTATTGATAAAAAATGTGCAACATTCAGAAATATATAAAAATCGATTCGAGTAATATGTGACTATCTTATCACATGATAAATTTACAGATACTTAAATTAAATCATTTTTTTAAGTATTACTGATTTTCATTTGTTTATTGAAAATGGTTTATACTTATAATAACTATTACGCGATCATTTATTTATTTAACCAAATATGTTACCATTCACCCTAAGGCCGTTTCTCCACTGCTCCGGTCCGGCAAACGTTAATTACCGATCCGATTTAGAAACTAACAACAGTACTTACGTGCTTCTCCACTACTCCGGCATCCGGTTTTTAACGATCCGATAACTTGCTAGTTCGGAACGCGGTGTTTTATCGGTCCAAGTATATCCAAGAGGTTATAAATTATTATTCATAGGTTTATTTATAGTTTCTTTAATTTGAAAGAATCTGGATAACCTGGACCAAACCAAACTATGTTGCTATTTATTTATATTTTTATACCATAGTATTAGTGAACTATTTATTAAGTAGATTATAATATTTCATGATAGACAATATAAAAAAAGTAATTAACTAGCCAGGGCAATAAAATATTCAGAATTTAGAACGTTTTAGTAATAAAATTAAGTATATGGGTTTTAGTTAATATAAGTGTTGCACGATAAATACACAAGTATCGATTATTGTCGGATCGGAAATAGTGGAGAAGCGCAATCCGGCCTTCCGATATTTTTCTCATGACTCATTCCGGTATCCGACGTCGGACCGGAGCAGTGGAGAAAGGGCCTAATTCGGCAAGTATTGACACTGAATTATTAAAATAATATAAAAATAACTCGGTTAAATAATGTTTTATTATTTAAGACACGCCTCCAGTACAGAAACAGACAATTATGTGTCTGTTTTTTATAAACAAGTAGAAATTGCTTATTTTTATAGAAAAGTCCATCGCCCGCTTTACGCTAATGGGGCGGTCGAGAAGAAAGTTTTGCTGCGTTGATTATAACGGAATGTATCTGTTATTATGTATCTGTTTGGACCTTCTCTTTTGTAAGAAATCTACTATGGTAGTCGTAGCAACTCTCAAATTGTATCATAAAATAGTTGCAGTTTTTATATAGATAAATTAACATTATTGCGGTAATAAAAAATACTGAACACAAAGTTCCTAGACTATAGAAAACAACTCAATATCCATTGGTTTATTAATAACCAATTCATAACCACGATAGATCAGTTTATTATTGCAATAACAGGCGTATTTGACGTCATAATGATCATGGATATAAATAACGCTCGTGTTTTGTTTCAGGTTCACCCAAGTCACAGGCGGTGCTACATTTCGTATGGAGGCTCCGAAATTGGATACAGGAAATACGAGATACTGTGTGAAGTCTAATTTGTTAGATGATTGTATTTTTGGAATAAACTTAAAGCGTAATGTTTTTATAGATTCGTGTTTTGTTTATTACCTTAATCTTAAATTTTGCAAGGGTTTCTATAATGTATAAACAAAACAACGAATTGTGTTTGAGAAATAGAAATATGCAGAAATTTTTAGTTTATGTATATAATTTGGCTACACTCACAATGACGTACCTTCTTCTATTAAAGTATTTCTTTTAAGTTGTTGTCTACCTACACAAAATATAAAAAACATATCTAGTTTACGCGACTAGAGTGTACTTACTACATTTTAAGTTTATTATTTTATTTAGTGTATCTAAAGAAACTTATTAAAGATAAAATTAGTTACATCTTTTACACAACTCGTTCTTCTTTCGAGATATCAAGTTTTCAAAAAAAATCACTTCCAATAAATTCACGTTTTATATTTTGAATAAAACAGTAATAAAATTATAGACTATCATGAATATATTGTTACAAACGACATCACTATTAATATACTTGTTGTATGTATATTTTCGGTGATGGTCAGAGTTTATTTTAGAAATTTTAAAAAAGTTTTTTAATCTTCACTCCAGAGCTTTGCAAGTGTACTCTTTTGCTTTTAAACACGGAACTTTAATTTATCTTTAGAAGATACTTTTTTCGGAATATACAGTTATATACAGTGAAATATATATAGTTATGCATATAATAAACAAAATTTAGACCTATTAGTAGCCATGTTTAGTAGAGTTTAGCCATGCATTAACTGTTCAGGTAATATATAGTTCAAGTTACTGTTGTTCCTATGACTTCCTGTATCTGATTTTTTTATTGCTTTTTATATTTACCTAAGCAGGTACTTGTTCTACATAACCAGCCAGTTGTTTGGTTATTTTAGTGAAGAGTCGGTAGTTAACACGCAGTACAAATAAAGCTACCATGTAACTTTAAATAGTAAAGTTTCTATTGAGCTGTCGTACTACTTAATTCAGGCAATATCAGCGCAGTTGTTGTGTTCAAAGTCCTTTATGACAAATTCACAAATTTATTCGACGAGTAGTAATTAGGCGCGTCCACACAGAGCGAGCAGCCTCGCGAGGCATTTGCCGCGCGAATTGTTACCTTTTTTTCTACATAATAAAATAACGATTATTATGTAGTATAGGAAAGAATCCGATAAATACAATATACTGTCTATTATTATTTGTTTATTAAGTCCATAAATATAATAATGCCAGGCTCGACAGCCCAAATAGGAAAATTTACACAATATTTTTTAAATGACTTGTAATAAAAAATAATTATAATGTTTCTCTGAATTCGTTCACAAAATCCCCATTTATAAGTAAGTGCGTTACGGTGAAGGTGGTCTATCTATATTAGTTAACCATTAACTATCACGTTCAATACTTGTGACTCAAAGCCGAGAGTGAGGGTCAAATTTATGCTAAGGACAATGTCATTAGGCCAAGTTATATTCTCAATTAACAACCGCCAGAACATTCAATTAATTATTGAATTAGATTTAATAGATCTACTTAATTAGTGCCGCCTATTATACTTTTTCTTTGTAGACAAATATACAAGATTTTTTGGGTAAAGGACATGCCTTTACCATGCTATGTTTCTATTAAAAAATCTAATAGAAATAAATATAATATCCAACCCATTGGTCACTTTGTATAATTAATTAAGCCCATGCAGTTACCATCCAGTGGCTTCATACATGTTATCTATTATGCTGCAATTTATGTACAACGGACCTACTGAGAGTCTTAGTGCGGAAACTGAGTCCACAAACCAATAACCAATTGTGCTGCAATTTCTATTTACTACTATTCTTGATGGAACGTCTAAAATAGAAACTACCCTTTCTGAAGAACGAAATCATCATTGGCGCATCAGCAAAACTTACAAATCAATAAAAGTTAAAACTTTGTCGTTAATTGGCGCATTATCGCATAATTTCAGAACGTCATCGAAACCTTTCTAATGTAGTAAATATTAAGTAGTATTATTATTATTTTCCTTTAGAAATTCAGTAGTTTTAACAAAATTCCGATGTGTATGCACGGCACGAGTAACGGAGTGACGACTAATCTAAGTGTATGGGAGTGACGGATAAATTGCAGTTCTCCGTACACGTAGTCACTTCACGATGTCGCTATAAATTTTTAAGGTATTTCTTAGTTTCCAAGTCATATTGTATAGAAATGAATAATAACTTATTAGAATAGGGTTGAGGATGTTATATTATGAAAGACGCGCTGGCAGAAGGAAGAAGTTGTGGCTCCGCAATATCTGAAAATTGACGGTTGTGGCCAGCGTAGACCACCTGATGCGCTTGGCGAAGAATAAGAAGTATGGCGAGCTGACCGCCAACCTCCACTACAAGAAGAAGATATTTTTCTTATACGTGACATAAGCGTCAATAAAGTCTATATACTGGACCCGTAGCAGATAATTGACGTATAGAAGCTATACCTATCGTAGTTTTTTAAACTTAATGTACCAAGTCCGCTTTCTGATAGCAGTTCTTTAAATTAATTTTTAATTTTGACAATTTCTAATGTAAAGCGAATAAAACAACGATAATAATATGGCTCAATTTTCTTTTTTAGAACCAGTAAAAAGCAATAGTGTACTATCACATTTGATATGGCAGGTATGAATTGGCGAAGGTTTCGATAAAAGCGAAAAATTGGGAATTTAATTTGTACGCAGCAAGCTGTTGCCCGCCGCGTGTTTGGTGTCCGGTAGATATATTGCTGACTTGATGTTTTAGTTTTCCCCAGAGGAATTGATTTATTGCTTGAAAAACCTTGTGAAGCTCACGTGTGCCTTGTTCAATCAGGTTTAAATATTCTGGTTATATAGCTGTTGTGTTTTATACACTTGTGGTGCATTCAATGCACTTGTGGTGACTGGTCGTACTTGAATTCGTGTATGCGGTGATATTAGTTATTTCGACTATGTATTTGCGGGTTGTTCCCATGAGAATGTAAGTGCGTGCTCCTAATTCACCATGCCTCCTGCTGATAGAGGACAAATCTTTGTTTTTAATTTATTTTAGTATTATTTATTACTTAAGCTGTCATGTGGAACATGGTGTAATGGTTGCAGCTCCTTACAAACGTTGTGTAAAACAAAAAAACTTGGCGATTACAAAGAGTGGTGGAGAGTTTATTGCAAGTTCTTCTCTTGCGTGTTACGCCCTTGATTTGAGAAGTGGCAGTTAATGTAAAATTAGAAGCATTTAATGTATATTTCTTTTTTGGCGTTCATAAGTGTACATTGTGTTACCTATAGGAATAAATGATTTTGACTTTTTGGCTTTTGTATAATGATGAGCAAAACATAACGAACTTCAACATGGAGCATGGTGTCTTGTAATAAAAAACATTACGATTAAAGAGTGTGGAGTCACATGCCAGTTCATCTAGTCGGATCTTAGCCATTGATTTGAGATAGTACTGAATGTAAATTTAAAATATTTTTAAGGTTCATAAGTTTACATTATGATACATAAATATAGCCAAAATGTTTTAATTTATAACACGCGAATTTCTGTCTAATTATTAAGATAATGTACATTTTCTAGAAAGATACATACAAAATAAGAATATCAGTTCGAATGTAATAAAAATCGATGCCTATCAAGTCATAATTATTTTCTAGTGTATTGGTATGTTATTTAAAGCTGGCGGCTTCAACACATTTACACTTTGTACTTGTGTAGTGTCTGTGAATAAGCGCGAGGCGTGATGTCAAACTGAAATACAATCACAAATACATCATGAAAAGACTGTCCGTCTCTCTCGCGCTCGGTCAAGCTTATGAGTACAAAAGTGACAGTTATTGTTTTGCTTTTGCTACTGTTTATGTTGATCTTTACTGTACTGTTTATGTTGATCTTTTTTCAAACATTACCAGGACAATCTCGTGAAATGGTGCACAATGTTTTTAATTATTTATTTTAAGCAGTTTAATGAAAAAATTTTCTTTTTAATTTGACATCAGATGCGACTGGGGTTTCTAAGAGGAGTATTGAAAGAATTGTTAGTGAAGTAAAAGTGAAGTGTGTTGAGCTAGATGGAGCTTATGTCGAAAAATGTAAAAATTATTTACACAAACTACTCTTTTACGTTTTTGGTCGGGCTTAGAACTTTTGGATCCACCCTCGTATGCACATAATATTTATATATATTTGACACATTTTTATTTATTTACTACCCACCCAACCTTACTAAAACCAGAGTAGACTAAAATATATAGCTTGGCAAAAAAAGTCATATTTTTAAACATACTGTATAGTGAAATTGCATTAGTGTGAGTAGGTACTGTGAACGCGCCAGCTTTCGATAACCGACCTATAGTCACCTTTTGTCAAGTCTCAGTAATAATTGCGCTTTGTTCTATATTCTATTAATTGCTTCTATAAAATTAAATTAAGATTTGAGTGTTATTACGTTATTATTTGCTTTTGTTTCACAAATATTCACGATCTGCCGTCTTAAATGTAAAATATTTGTTAGAATATTGTAAGATTTATAAGCTCGTAAAGATTTCCTCTTAATTGGCCATTTAGGCGTTATTTTGGAATATAATTATTTCGGTACTGTTTAAAATTTAATAACAATAGTTGAGCCACTTTACAATAGCTTATAACGACCCCGTTGGCTCTTGTGTTATCTATATAATAGACGCAAAGGACGGGAAATGTTTATGCTTTCAGTTCTGCCCATTTAGTCCCATAATGAAGGGACCAGATTGCCTAAGTCTACATCCTCTCTGGAGACCGGGAAAAGCCAATGCCCTTACGACAATTTAAAGTGATTTGTTGGCAATAATAAAGATTTTATTTATTTACATCATAGAAAAGTTTAGCATGAAATCAAGGAAGAAAAATGAATAGTACCAAAACAGTAATATTAGTTTTAGGATTATTCTAACGATTTTGTATAATATCCTCTCGTCCATCCCATATATGTCTGTTTCATTGATTAATTTACAATCTAAAAATGCAGTTAAACTCAAACTATTACAGTTTCGTCTCCAAGAAAAAATAAATTCCAAAATGTAATCCATTTATTTCTTAACATTTATCACATATATAAATAAATCATTTTACAAATAACAGTTGCCATTGCAAACACAAGAACATGTTTGCGATCTCAACACTAAATTTATTAAAAGAGATATATCGAAATTGGGTACAAATTTACAATATTGAATTCGGGATAGCTAGTTACAGAGATCCTGGTACAATCTTTGCGTTTGACCAATCAAACATAACGTGCCAGCGTTCGTGTTTTGTTTTACATTATAACACATTAAACTTTTGGTAATTTGTGTTTGGTGTTTGCATATTAAATTGCATTGGAATAAAAATAATTAAAAACACAACAGTCTCGCAAAAACCTTATTAAATTCTACCTAAATACATTTTTATGTACATTAATTATACAGTTTAAGTTAACAATAAATATCCTATATAGGTTCTTACGACTTAAATTAAAAGAATACATTTTTTTTATATACAAGAATAAGAATCGTTCTTAATAACAAATCCATACTCTATTTAAAGACAAAGATACCCTTGAGATGGTAAATACAATTTAATTTCAACTGTCTTTGCTTAGGACGTCTTTGAAATGCAAATCGAAGTTGGTAGAATGATCAGTGGGCATTATAGATGATATTTCTAAATCGCTGGTATACTAAAAAACAGTATATAGTAATTTTTTTATTGATTTATTATATATATAACGGTAATAGTCAATGTTTTATTATCGCATTCCGGTGAAATCTATTAAAACTAATAAAGTATGGGCGAGTTATATTGCCATTTTTATTAGATGAAATTTTTAATAATACCGATCTCATGAAAATTTTATTGCCCCTAAATTCTCGAGTATGATATAATTTTCAAGTTGTAAGTCGCTCGAGTTTTCTCATTATGCAGGGATTTGGGACGTCACTTTTACTTATAACCTTTTATTAAAACTTCTTTTTGGAAATAGTGACTAACACTCTATTAACTAAAATAATTATTACTTATAAAAATTATCAGTTAATTATTTGGGACCATTTCTAGCACGACTGTTTATAATTGTACATGAACTAATTTATTTTAGCACAGCTCTGACAAAAGAATTGTTTCGTCTCTTTTTAAAAGTTATATAAAGCCAGTGTCTCGAGAATTGTAGTATAAAATGTATTTGACGAACATAAATTATATTTATTACATACATGACTAAACGTTTCGAGGAGTGCTTTACCGTAGTCGACAGACTTTTAAAATAGACAATTTTTTTTAAGAATGTTCAGTGACGGAAAGCCTCTTAACAGTCTTGTCACCCGTTTATCACGTACTTAATAATAAAAGTAATAGCCAGATGACTCACGCATATGAAACATTCGTTACACAAATGTACCTGTGTATTGTTAGCTTGTGTCCACAATTTTCAAATTTACATTGAATAGTAAGATATCTCAACATTGAAATTTTAATGTTACATAAATAATATTTACATTTTAAACATCATAAATGTTTATTAACTAATTACATAGAATCATTTATACAGAATATACTCAACCATAGAGTTCTTGAGGCGTAGGAGTATGTCGAGGGCGGTATGCTCGTCAAATCCATGTCCGTTCGTCACCGTTTCCGGTGTGCGGGTCATTTACAGAGAAGTCACCGCGCCGCGCGGTCGTGCCGCGCCGATGTCAAATGCTGCTCATCATTGTATTGTTATATGTGCTGTGAAGCGAGATTCGCATCGTGCCTGTAATTAATATCATGGAAGGTTAACTTTTACCTGCGTTAAACAATACACAAGTATCGATTGACACAATTTAATGAGTGAAATATAAGTTTCATATTTAATGCAATTATAAAAACTGGAGATGTTGGGATCAACATAAAACATCTAATCCAATAATAAACAAATATATAAGATCCTTAATGCTATAGGATCAAACACAAGAGAATTAGAATGTCACGATTTGTTTCTTATTTATTTATTATTGCGATTAGTCACAATAGTAACTGAAGAAGAAATAAAGTGAAACTAAGTCTTGAATCCCATATACATGATGCTATACGAAATTATCACTTAATGAAGGTCATTGACCTTAATTTGTGGATAATACCGTTCTGGAATCGGTGACGTGAGAAGCAGCAATGCTGATGTGTATTTGAGCAATAAAAAGCACGATAAGCAGGATGGCCAATGACCAATGCCAGAATCTAACTACTAAGCCATTCAATGGTAGATGGTTGTCACAAACATAAAGTAGTTACCAAGGCTTGGTCACCGCTCATCTATTTATTGACATGTAGAAATTGTGGAGATCCGGACTTTCTCGACTTTGTCATTTTGAATGTCGTCTTGAACATACCTACGAAGTAGAATGTTCTGAGAGTTGAGTTCAAAGCGGGTATGTAATTTAACAGACAAGATTAAAATGCGATTAATTAAAATAATGCTCTTCTTGAAAAAAGTTCCTAAGAGCTTTTTTGTCTGTTGTCAAGTTTATTTACTTATAGAGGTTGATTGGTGACAAAACTTTGAAAAGCTTTTTGAGGAGGGCTTTATGAACAAAACTGTATTAATATTCAATAAGAATACCGTTTCTAAAAAGGCCGTATAATCTATATTTCTGTCTACTACGGGTTAACTTGATTTTCGTCTGTGACGAAATCGGAAGACAGTTGAAAAATAGTAAAGAAGAGTTAAAGCCCTGCCTATTTCCTTTAAATTAAAAGCTTCATTACTTTTTTTTATTCATGACATTTTTTAGTCTCTTAGGTCTTAGTGTTACATTTAATCAAACAAAAGTCGTGTATGACCAAAAGTATGCGTGTTTATTAACATTATGAAATTAAAAACAACAGTACATGTATATTTAGTGAATAAAAAGCATTGGGAGACGAAACAGTGCTAGCACAGTATAATAATACGTAGGTTTTGTAGAAAAAAAATAAACATTTAGTATACTAAACTTACTTGTACCATTTTTACGGCTTGGAGACACAGATCTCATGGACATGTCGGGTAGATCTGGGCCGAAGCCTCTGTGCCGGTTGAATCCACCGTTACCCAACGCACCACAACACCAGAAGAATTGTTTGAAGCCACGACGAAATCTATGTAAAACCAAATAATTTAAATATTCCAAGAAAATGCTGTTTATATCTATAAAATAAAATAAATAAATCAGTGGCGCTTCGGCTTCCTCACGATGTTTATCTTCACCGTTCGAGCAAATGTTAAATGCGCACATAGAAAGAAATTCCATTGTTGCACAGCCGGGGATCGAACCTACGACCTCAGTATGAGAGTCGCACACTGAAGCCACTAGGCCAACACTGCTCTGTGCTCTGCTCTGTTTATATCTATATACAAACATAAAACTTACTTGGAATTCATCCAACAGTAAATAATAGGGTTATACATGGAATTGCTCATCGCAAGCCAATAGATCCCGAGGTATATTTCCTGTATGTACTCGTAGTTGACCACGTCTGGGTAATATGACGTCACGATAAAATAAACGTGGAACGGCAGCCAACATACGGCGAATATCACAACGACAACTATCATCATTTTGACCACCTGCAAGGAATTATTATTGAAGGGTTTTTTGTAGGAATCATGTGAAATCTACTTTGAAACGAATTATTAATAGTAATCAATGCTATCATATATTTACGATATAATTACAAATTCAACGACACATTGGTACATAAAATTTAATAAATAAAATTTCTAATGCGTATTTAATATCCAAACCTTAATCTCTTTGATAGTACGGATACCGAATAAACAGAAGAATATTGTTTATTAATATATTTTTTGGGTATAACAAACACAATTACTCTAGAAAAAGTTGTTTGTGCATGGATATCTAAATATTAATATAGTTATTTTATAAGTAGACACTTATTAAGATGACAGAATCTATGGAAGAATGCATGCAATTTTAATTAGTTAGGCGAAAATACTAATAATTTAACTAAATTAAATGACGTGAAATGTTTGGGTAATTGCCAACAAATTTAAAATTAACTATAAACAATTTTTTGCGCCTTCATTTAGTAAGAGAAAAGACTAGTTGTGGTACTAAATAGTCAACAGTTGTTCAAGGTTCATTCGTTAAAATATTAATAAAAATGGCCCTAACAAGTTTTTATCAATAAGTTCTAGGCTTTCCAATCCAATTTAATTCCCCCAGAACAACTGCTAAGCAAACATTGTGAAAAAAAAATTACATTTATTATTTCTATGAATTATTTGTCTTCAAAAGAATACAATAGTTTAAGAAATGAAACTGTCAAATTTTGGTTAAAGATAAAATCAGGTCCATTTAAAATCCTACTTTATACTTATACAAAAGATTCCATGGGGACCCTTTGTGTAATTATGCCCAAAATTATTAAGGTCAGCGATTTTCTTTCAAGTCAAATTATGATTTAAAACTTCTAATTACCCTTCGTTTGCTTTTAACATTGTCCAATTGCCGCTGGGTACATTCACCAATGGATTTGGAGCCCCACAACTCGACCCCGACTTTGGAGTAGGTGTAACTCATTGACATTATTGGTAGAAAGTATGTCAGCAACATGAACATTACGTTATACCTGAAAAATAACAATAGGGGTGTGAATACGAAATTCCACCCGTATCACCTCGACGTCCGTCATTCCACAACTGGGCGTTGTTTAAGGCAGTTTTTGCCGCGCACCAACACTATGTGGAACCAATTCGACTTAGGGTCCAAGACGAGGCCGGCAACGTACTTGCCAGCCCTCTGGCAATGTGAGTGTCCATGGGCGGCAGTATCCCTTAATATCAGATGAGCCTCTTATCAGTTTGCCGCGTTACGTTAAATTAAATATATACGTTTCATTGTGATTGGTCAAAAGTCCATTCCATTAGTTCATTTACAGACATTACAGATTTTTTAGATCTTGCCGATAGGTAAACCACAATTAAATAAAGCCCGCTATCGTTACATTTTATTATACATTCGTTGATCAAATTTTCATTTTGTATGGGTAACACGGTATCGCGATTGCCCTGAGTCAGGCCGACAGGTTGATAAGAATAATCGAATATTTTATGCCTTCACTAAACCTACCTTCACATCATATCAAACAGCAAGTATGTTATGATGAATAATGAAGTATGTAAGTGAATAAAGTGTATTTAGTATCTTTCGAAATGCGATAGAAAGATGAAGTGTCTGTAACTGTTAAGTTTTTATATAGTACCTACTAGCGGACCCGATAAACGTTGTCTTGTACACACATCTTAAATACAAACCATTCTCGAACACACACAAAAAAAATTCCGAATTACACACAGAAGATTTATTCTTATATATAAAGATAAAATATGTTGCCCTTGCATATGCCATGTAACGAGTATGTTAAATTAGAGCCAGAGAAAACATCAAAGACCCGGGTATCATTGAATATCGGGTTAGGCTTCTGCCCGTTTGCCGTAAAAAAAAAAATATGATCGAAGCGATGTCGATCGATAGTAGAAATTAATACTTCGTTATAATAATTTGTGATAGGTACTTAATGTTCTTATCTACTACTCTTTACTGTATATTTATCTTTTTTAAAGTGAATCGTAATTTCTTTTAAATGTGTAATACTCGCGTGAGTACAATAAAATATTTAAATTTATTTAATTTCTTAAGTTAAAGTATCTTTTACACGTACTCCACGTGAGATGCAAAAGTTTCATTGTAAGACCGTTACAAATTTCCACACATACTATACGATAAGTTTATGTAAAAGTTTTAACTGAACAAGAACAATACTTTAACAGTATACGTTTTAATAATTCATTCCTTAAAAATCGACAACATGCATTTACAATAATTGTTAAGTAAACATATTAATTATTTGTATTGATTTGACCGGTTTGATTGTGTGATGACTTATGGATGTCTTATTTCAATGTTTAAACTGTTAAGTAGTTTATTAATATACAAGTTATGAATATCCTATTATGCTATTTTTGAAGTTATACTTCTTTAGGCGCGTAATGCAAATTGATGAGAGTGAAATTTTACGATGCGAGCGCTACGTGACACAAAATTAACAGAATGAAGTTGCCCACGGAAGTTGCTACGGCATTGGACATAAGAGAATAATAATAAATATTTATTTATTTAATTTTTCAAATGTAAACAGAACTCTATTGACTATAATGACTCCTTTTCCATCTTTGATTATTTAATTGTAATTAATTATTTGCATGCAATCAAAAACTATTTTTAATAATGCCAAAGAACTACTACTACTAACTAACTACTTACGCGCGTACATAAGTACACGCACCCTTTTTTTAAAAATAATATGTCGTGTATTGTCGTTTGCGTTATTGAAGTTAAAATATCCCACAAAATAATAAAATATAATTCTAGATTTCAACGATGGTTTTAGTCATTTTGAATAGTCCATATGTTACTGTTATAAGTAATTAAATTTCCGCCTTCTTTTAATATCAGTGTCAATGTTAACTGTATATAGCTCTCTCGCTCTTTGAGGCCCTGTCTGTCACACACTCTGTTCGCCCTCGTTGTTTCCAAGCATTAAAAATAGTCCGATTTATTTCAACAGCTAATAAATACAAAGATTATTTACGTAACAATAGATTTATATGATGAGTCATAGAACAAAAATGATCTTTTGAAAAGGCACGAAAAAATTACTTAGAGTTTCAATTGAATACACACAATGTAATATAATAAAAGCTACTATAGAATACAATTTAACACCGAAGCAACTTTCGTGTCGACTAACAGTTTGTGTGTGTTCCAAATTAACTAAATGGGTTTTGTAACAATTTAAATTACTTACACGTATTCCAATTGAGATCTAGTCGTGATACCATCCGGCCAATCAGGAAAGCATATGCGTCTGCAAAGTAATTATTATAAACATCATTAAGTACGGCACTTATATGTATGAAGGATGTAGGCGGCCCGAGAAGAACAGGTCAATAAATATTTTTATTTTTAAACAAGTTTCTTCAAGCGACCTCAGTGGATACTTTACGCAACGGGACCTGAGCATAAGATTAACCAGGCTATTGCTGTTTAATTATCATATAAGGGTTAAATTATTTTATACTTCACCGCGATGTTCCAGACGCAAAAAGCTGATCGCCTATTAATATATAATTAAAACTGCAGAAATGACTCTAAGCCGGATAATAATGTAGGAAAAGTGTCTTAGGTGACATTAAATAAGGTTTATAATGGAAGAAAATGCAAGAGCTATTTTCCAACGTCCAAGATGTATAAGATTTATTGAATACCGAGAAATATTTGTAGGCTTACTTGTAAACGAATTGAATTTTAAATTTGTACCCTTATAAGATTTATGGCTAGCGAAGTAGGATGACGTAATATTTTGCTTCCTATAAAGTAAACTTGAATTCAGACTCATTAATTTTAAGGTATTTATTGTATGACCTTTTCTTTGACATCATTCCGAGTAAAACATTAGTACTTATATCATCCACAGATTTAGTCAATATTTTTTTGCGAAATCTGTTGTATAATAAGAATACGATGAAAACGGTAAAATTTAAAATCTGATCAGTTATAAAAGGAGGAATGGGTACTGATAGACCCTCCGTGTTAGTACTGAGCAGTCGTAAAGTTGTTATTTTTAAAGTGTAACTTCTTTAGGCGCACGAGGGTAAAATTTTTACGGATGAAAAGTAATAATAATAATATTAGCGTCGCGAAGATGTGCATCGTTTTTGTCGAAGAAAAGGGAGAGAGCCATTGAGAGCGATAATTATCTTATAGAAATTCTGTTTTTAAAATAAAATTTCGTAAAGAGACATTATGAAATTACTTAGTATTTTATATTTTATGCAAAATAATTTATTGAAAAAAAATGACGAATTGTAATTTAAAATGCCACGTGTTTTTATTATCGAAGAAATAAATTAAAAAAAATATATATAATTTGTATTAATTTACGACACTTTTACGATTTTAATGTCAATTAAATTCCTAACATATCTTCCTTTGTTTTTCCCTCCCTCTAAGTCTTGGAATTAAAGTTTTAGATTTGGATAAATATGAACAAGACTTTAAAATTAGTTTGCCAAAGAAGTGAACTTTGAATGAGTACTCTTGTACCTACGACACTTTTTTAAACTTAACTTATATTTTAATCCTTATTAAACAGCTGTGAAAACGGCTAAAATAAACTAACAGTGAAAATAAAGATTACCAATAATTTCAAAAGCTAGACCGGAAAATTTAATTTCAAAGCGCCTTATATTCTTCAACAACAATTTGACCAAAGTGCAATAAGACCTTTCACGTAAATATGAGAGTCCATTTAAACCCACACTACGACCGGGCGAGGAAAATGCAATTACCGGTGCAGCATTTTTTCATGCTTCCGAGAGTATTGGGAAAATGTGGCATGAAAATATCAGCAGTTTTTTTTCAATTAATCCCTTAGAGCATTGAATCCATTATTTACATTGAATTTGTCACGTATTCCATATTGTTTGTGATTTTTCATCACACGGCCTGGATGTGTCAATGTTTTGATTGAAAGAAAATAAGTAAGTTGTTATAGTATATACAAACTACTGTACCCATAAAACGAGCAATATGTAAAATTCAATAATAACAAATAAAAGTAATTTTCTCTCTCTCTCTTCACTCTCGTCGTTTTATATTTATTAATCTAAATAAAAAACTAAATAAAGATCTCAGAACAGTTACGTACCTAACATTTCCATCTGGTAATAGATCAGTTTCAGTGGTGAAGTAGAGGAAATTGGGACTACTGACAACACAACTGATGGCCCAAATCGCGGCTGCTATGCCAAGCGTCGCGCGCTTTCCCAACCTCTGTCGGAGAGGGCTCATTATTGCTACGTACCTGTAATATTATAGACAGTTTTTTACAAAGTTTAGGCTTTTCTTTACTTATGGAGTTACTGTGAGTTATATTATGCAAAGTATTATTGTTTAAAGGACACTAGTTGTAGCGCCGTATCTAAAATCCTACAAAATATCAGGGTTGGAGTTTGATTAGAAAATATGAGCAGGGGAGAAACTTTCACTCGAAGACCTTTACAATACCAGCTCGCAGGTGTCGTACGCTATTTTAATTCTTATTTACCTGCAAAACAATATTTCTAAGTCTGGAAACTTTTTCTTTAAAAATGTTTTTATTTTAATGTAAAAACAAAAGGCACATTGCTTAAAATTCCATTTATGTAACAAACGTTGTTGATTGTTCCGAACATACACTGCTTTTCAACGCGAAGCCTCTCGGGAAATCGGGCTTATGGAAGCTATTTTCTTCTCTTAATGAATATTTAGCGTTGTCGATAATTCATTCCGAGGGGTAATATTATGAATTTTATTCTTTTATAAAATATTATGTAAATTTTTCTTATATAAAATGGGATCGGTAAAATAACTTTAATCATTATAATATCAAGTGACGATTACTATACGTATAAATATGTCGCTAGATTGGGGGCTAGCTTTAAACCGATTACGTCTCAACGATATTTTGTTTTATTATTATTTAAAAAAAAAATGTTTTGTGTTATCTGTTAAATTTCTAGACTGCTGCTTACACATTTTCAAAAACCCTACAGCATTAAACATTAGCTGTAGGGTTATTAATATTTATTGTTAAATATTACAATAAATAATTTAAATTATTTAGTGTGAAATAATATTAACAATAAATAATTAGTGTCTAAATAATTTCATTTTAGTTTTTGTTTGAATTTTTAGTTTTCGATGTTTTGTGTTTTCGCAGCTTTCGGTATATTCGGACACCCGGTATGTCAAAAGCTCTTAACAAAATAATTAACAAGATACGCGAGCTACGCTTAGCATTTTGAAAATTCACTTGTTTTTCGCTAATTGCAGGAGTGGCAAGTCTCCCGTTACCTAACAGCGTAATAAGTTACACAATTACAAATTACGTAAAATGTGATGAAATTAACATTTTGTTCATAATTTTTGAAGGACTGCGAGCTTCCGGTTTTTTACTACATTTTCAGTACTCTTCACTTGGAATAAAATTGTGATTTTTTTGATTTTAATACAAGAATTTATATAGCATATTACATCGGCGTAAGTATACTTACATGTCTGAAGAATATAACGTAGGCATTATGTTTATCTCATCTTGTTCGTATTATTTAAATTTAAATGATATATAAATCCTTGAATTCAAATGCTCATTGCCACATCCATTGGTGCACAGCCGGTAATCGAACCTACGACCTCTACGAGGGATGAGGGTCGCACGCTGAAACCACTAGGCTAACACTGCTCAATTAATAACAATACGTTATTTAAATAAAGAATTTAGTTTTAAATTTGAAAGAATGAAAAATCCTGTCTTTAGGCAAAAACTTTATTATTACAGTCCGTAGATTCCATTTGGCTCATTAATTCTTAAATTGTTTTAAGAACATCAATTTATTCCGACCACTGCTTAATACTTTAATGTTTCCTCCTAATCTTCTATTAATGTTGAATCTCGGAAATGTAGTATTTTAAATTGCAATTAAACAGATTCATGAATTTAAGTATAATCAAAATTGAAAGGAATTGAATAAGCAGCTTTTGCCGTTCAACGAAGCTTGTTTGTCCGTAATAAGCGCATATTTATTTGAAAAGATCCTTTATATTGCCTCGCTATGTTTGATTTCTAGATTGTTTTTTATTTTTACGAGACGAGAATAGGGAGGATGAACTTCATCGTGAAGCAGTCATTTTACGATTTGGCATTCTGATAAGGAGGGAGCTTGTAGTTTATTGTTTATCAGAATGCCAAATCGTAAAATGACTGCTTTACGACTGATTTGAGCGCGACCACCGCTGTGAAAACCGCTGTGAGAGTTCGAAAAGTGAGTTACAGAATCGCAAGGCTGATGTTATTTAAAATCAATGACCAAGAACACGGAGAAGAAAAGAGAAGTACACTCCGCCAGAACATATGTTACATACTGGAATTAATACAGAAAATGTCCATTCTTCATTGTCACTGTCACTGAAAGGAATTGTGGCATGAGACATAGCCGATTCTGCACATGTTTAATTCATAAACGAAGTACTCATCGAATTTGGGTTGGAAAACATATTCTATGTTTAGCAGCAAAAATTTCGCGGGAATCGTACGCAAAACTATCACCTATACACCGCTATACACCGTATGCCTAGTATAAAGGCAAATATTGTTACGAGCCAGGGGATATCTCTCATAAATCTCTTGGAGGGTTTATTTTAAATTAAACAACGAAGACTTCATTTGCACTTAAATACACAACATACGCAGAAAAACACACTTATAAATGCACAAAACATTGCCACTAATTTCACAAAATCTTATTTTAGCTTACGGAAAACGTCTATATGTTGTAGAAAGATCAAGAAACCTTACATTCTATAGATATGTATTACAGAGAATACCCTAGTATTTAGTTATTATCTATGGTTACTGAGCCTATTACTTTTCATTCGTCACTTAATACGATTGTCACATAACTTCCGATATAAATGTCAACTGTCAAATAACTTCTCATACATGACGCGTTCGACAAGGGATAATATTCTATTAGCGATGGCTTTATTTTGGACTTTTGGAGGTTATATGACGAAATGTGCCGGGCTTTATTTCACTGTTAACACAATGCTAGTATTACATTAGTTATGATGAAAAAAAATTATTTTGGTGTATGACAGTTTGAGAAATTAAGTATTTTACGAAAATTCCAAAAAGCGCGCTATACTTTAGTCAGCCGAAAAAGCGAAAATTTAGAATATTTTAATAAATGAGAGACCTTTACAATAAATAGACGTTTCTAATTTAAGTGACAGGTAGATTTGATTTCAGAGAAACAGTGTAACGTTTCCATGTCGAGAAAATTCATTCATTTAATGTAATATTTTTAAAAATAAGGACGAAATTGTCTGAGTATGGAAACCTACGCAGGCCAAAATCTACAAAGCATGTTACCTTATTTAACTGTATAGACCAGGCATTAGCGTACAGCGTGTGAGATAGCGAATGATCGACATATGTCATATTTTCAGTTTTAATTCATTGAAGATTGCTTATTATTGACCAAAATACACATTCGAATGAATAATTCTTGAACAAAATTACTGAGTCGTGACAAAATAAGCTACTTACCGATGAAATATGTTTGGTTCTTTACGTTCACTATAGCTTTTACAGCCAATTATGCAACAATTCACCACGACTGACACTTTAAATACACCTCTTATAAGGATAAAGTCTTAAAATATGAGTTTGACTTGGGTTTCACCGATTTATCAGTAAGCGGTGAAAACTTGTTTACCACCAAGGGCTCGGTGGTAAACAAATAAAACCCGATACGCAAATGGAGACAGAAAAACTGATACTCTGTTTCGCTCGCACTTAAGTATTTCACGTTAATGTCTTCTCTCTTTAGTTATTATTGTTACTTTAGAAGCTCATCTAGTTCTATACTCTATCTAATCTACGATAAAACCTAACAAAAAATAAACTATAGAAAAATTATAACTAACTCACAAAAATTCTTTACTGAAGCACTTTAGACCATTGAAATGAAAATGAGATATTTAAAGATCTATCTCTGTGTTTTGACACTTTAAAATCGATTAAAATATTAAACGTCCTATATTTCATGTATCACCATCGACTCACTGTCATTATTCATGCAAATTTATCTGTCGTAAGCATCATAGCTTTACGCCCCTTGGCTGTTTCACAAAAAATGTATTTTGCTGTTCGAGTATCATGTGGTATGAGTTATTAGTTGTTTTAACTGTTCTACTTTCGGATATTTTGCTCCTTATAATACTAAACTAGTACTCGAAGTAACATTTGAAATAAAAGTATTGAATAAAATAACTACAAGAAAAAGCGGTAAAACTTATCCAAAATATGTATAATTCATGCAATAAAAATACGCAATGACATTATTTTATACGTATGTTACGTTTACCTTTATGAAGTAGCCAAAAAAAATTAGGAATTCCTTAAGACACTCGAGACATTATTACATGTCCATAAAAAGGGAACGCAGAATGTTCACTACTATTACGTGTATGCAATTATATAATAAACACGTAAATGAAGTTAAATTAGAATAAAGTCGGTGATATATACTTTCAAATAATTGCTCCAAAACTGACCGGACAAAACTTATTTGAAAAATGTTTCACCATTAAAACCCTTTATTATCACTGATGTACATATTTAAAAAAAATGCGTAAGAAACCTTCGATCAAGGTGTGAATAAAATACCAATAACAATGATATAATAATACCTGTACGGTGCGGAAACAATAGCCAATAGAGTAAAGTGATGTACTACAGTGTTAAAATAAACATCAATATCTACGAAAATGTCACGGTACCACATACCAAACAATCATAATATTTGAATTTAACATTCCATTTACCCAGGAATGCCATAGAAAATTGTGCAACGGCTGAATTAATGCGCATAGAACCGTAGAGCTCAGCTCAGGTGGATAATGCGTTGATAGTAATAACTCTGTCATAATTCGTGTAGCATCTGAAGTATATAAAATTCTTACCGATCAATACTGATAGCCATGAGAGTAAGCACCGATGCAGATATGCTCAATACGGCAACAAATTGGCAGAATTTGCAGTAAAAATGTCCAAACGGCCAATCCGAGTACAGCATGTATGTGAAATTGAATGTAACATTCAATGTTGACATCATTGCGTCCGCTATTGATAGATTCACTGAAATAAAATAAAGTACTTTAATATTACGTTGGAGCAAAACCTACGACATTCATTTGTTATTTTGGCGAGTTACAGATCTGATTCATTGTTTTGGCAGCTAAGGTAGGCTAGAATAAAAAAACAGTGGCGCTAATATATATACATAGTGTTCTTTAAAATCCTTCTTACCGAATTTGACGAATTTTTTGTGTGTTCAAGTACATTCGAGAATAGTTTAGTTTTTTACAATAAATATTTTATATATATACCAATCAGATTGTCTAGATTTACTATACGATTTATCTATTTAAGATGTGTGTAGTGAACAACGTCTGTTCGCTAATAAAAAATGTTTTCTTTATCATTTTTCGCAAGTGCCTAACGCCATTGAATGAACTCATCATTCAATGTAAGACGTGATACTAACATAATCGTGGATATCCATCTCAATTACACAAACACGTTTTAGAATCGCTTGCCTGGGCACTACGTTTACTACCACTGCTTCCAGAAAGTAGCATTTGGTATTTTTTAAATTAGCATTCGTTGATACGATGTCAATCTAACTGACTTTTCTATATATAAATAATTTTCAAAGAATGCCCGTATGTTCTTTGAATATTCCGTTCCAATTCTTGCGTTCAGTTCCGTTTAGTTGTTGTGTGATGTTAAGTGATATAGTCGCCCATGGACACTTTTAAGAATTGGTACGTTGTTTTCATAAACGACCCTGAATCTAATAAGTAAGAATTGCTTCGGAAATACTTCTGCAGCTGGTTCCACATAATGGTGGTGCGTGGCCAACACTGCCTTAAGAAACGCTCAGTTGTACTACGACGGACATTGATGGTATTTCTTATTTTGACGTCCGATAATGAATCTCAGCTGCAGGTATTAATACGAACAACTCTGAACACTCTCCATGTAAATGCTGAAAAAGATGCAGATGCGCCACATCTGGTCGAATAGCTCTTCGTTGAAAACGGTCAAGCGGAAGGAGTTGATACTGGGGAGCTCCCGCCCAGAGATGAGAACAGTACTCCACGTGGGGCCGAATTTGCGCTTTATAGAGTTGCGAGCGGTGGCCCGGAGTGAAGTAACGTCTCGCGTTGCAGAGCACACCAAGCTTCTTAGGGGCTAATATAGCATTCCCTTCGAAAAGATGCCGTTGAAACAAGTATCGCTTAATTGTGATTGCAGAGACGGCGATGAACAATTAAAGTAAACGATGGACAGTGTCGCTTTTTAGAATTGCATACTTATACCACATCCAAGTAGACCAATTTATCGCTTTTTATATTGAGATCTCCCCGTCAAGAGAACAAATTAGGTCCTAAACTAAACGATAAACCAAGCACGGAACTCGAATAAACAGATGAAAAATGAGATTTAACATTTTACAGAGTCTACTCTTATTTGCTTTTGTTTAATAGAATTGTTTTCTATGCAGAAAGTTGAATATACATTTTAAAAATTAAGTCACTGTTTTGAATTACATGTATACTTCCATAGTCTGTCCAAGTTACATTAAGACGTTAAAAGTGTAAACCCACATAAAATACTAATACCAATACTAATACCAAAAACAACAACTAATTAAGTTTTCCAATCTGAAGCTTTGATAAAAAATCAATATTTTTTACAAACAATATTTAGGTATATGAAAAAAATATCAGTGGCGCTACAAAATTTTTAGGTCTGGGCCTCAGATTTCTGAATCGGTTTCATAATCATTTGTCAATCTAATAGGCAAGTAGGTGATCAGCCTTCTGTGCCTGACAGACGCCGACTGACTCGACTTTCGGGACTTTTCGGCCGGATTCCTCATAACCCTTATGTATGTATCCTGGTGTATCCTTCACCGTTCGAGCGAATGTTAAATGCGCTCATAAACAGAAAGTCCAATGGTGCACAGCAGGGGATAGAACCAAAGACCTCAGGAATGAGCGTCGCATGCTGTAGCCATTAGGCCCACCGCTCTCTGCTCAGATGTAATTATAAACCCAATATAAATAATATATAAAGTAAACGGTATTTTCTTAAATTCACATAAAAAAGCATGCATGCAAGCAACAATGGAGACATTACATCAGAATTATTTAAATTGTCAAGTTGAACAGTATCCTATACTGAAGAGAGTTTCGCCAGCGAATTGATAACGTTTCTAGTCTGCGGGACGTTGGCAAAGTTAGTTGGTACGTGTTTATCGGGCCTTTGTGATAAATTAGTTTGTATAAGTAGCCACTAGATGGCAAATGCGAGGCAGCTTATAAAATTCAGTTTGAAAACGACAACTAGATGGCGAGCTTGTGAATAGAGCTTATGAAATGAGTAATGAAGTGGTCTACGTGATTAGACGGTTGTGAAAGCTCAAACTTTCAGCTATAATGTTACAAAGCCGCGCTGCTACTCTGTAAAACAAAACTTATTCAATTTTTTATTCTGTGAAACTAATCCGATCCTTAGCGCTGATGTTGTAAATTCATAACGTGATACCAAAACTTAACATTGCAATCGGAATCATGATTGGTATCGCATTTGAAGAGCGTAAGCTTGCTTCGGCGTACCTAAACCATTGACATATAACAAATATTATACAAGGTGAACGTAATAAAGCAATATTCAACACTAAAGAGCTGGATTTTAAATTTTCAGTTTTATGTTCTATTTTTAAATTTGAAATGCTGACTACTGTACTTTTAGAATATCGCCTAAGTGTACTACTTAGTTATTTATCTCTTTTATGGAAATGGGATTATATGATGTCATGTCACAACGATTACGTTAGACCTCCATCAAACTATTTTTGTAGCAAGTAAAACTTAACCGTAAAGTTCCCAGGAAATAAGAAATTGTGTCTAAAATAAACTCGTTTTTGAGATTTAGTACTCCTGACATGTATTTCTTGCGCTTGAATAACGGAAATTACTTGGCAAAGTCTACAATATACTATAAAACATTTAATAATCAATAAATAAATATTGATTTAATATTTAGCGTGTTTTACTTTTGAGTTCCATTTATTTTAATAGCAGTTCACTACTTAAATGGCGTAATGTATTTTCAAAGTAGTTCTATATTTAAATTTATTTCTTTGATCATTTTCAATTTATAAATTATTCGAGTTTGCTGGGTCTCAAATGTTTTACCTCATAGATGGTATTCTCTTAACTCTGTAAAAAGTTACCAAAAACATTTTTTTATTTATTCAGACATTTCCAAAGTTTATCAAAAAAGTCCTCAATATATTCCTATAAATTCCTCAGCCCTTGAGACACGTACAGTTTAACTGAAGGATAAATAAAATTCTCTTTGATACAGAACATTATTCAAATATTTGCTGTTACTTTCAGCGTTCGGAATTTTAATAGACGCTGCAGGAATACTTTACACATTGCGGAAATGAAGGTAAATTCGTACCTATCATTATTGTAATCCTCTGCATCGTTGGGCATACATTACTGAATTTCCTTAATTGATCTTAAGGCAAGTGAATTCAATTCAACAACAGTTGCATCAACATTCGCGATAACTACTAACTGACGTGAGACTTAAATTAAAATATTATGATTCATGTGCACTTTTTACTTTTTATTTATCATGTATCCTTTATTAGTTTAGTTTGTTTTTTGATCCTGTTTAGTTTATTTTTTTAGTTTTCTTAATAACTATATGTAATATGTATTTTTGCACTTCTTGTCTACCTTATCTAATTTAATAATTTTTTTTTGCCTTTTCTCACAGTGGTTGTCTGGAAGAGTTAAATTTTTAAATTTTAATGCAACAAAGTGTAAATAAATAAATGAAATAAACAGTTTTACCGGGAATTGAAATCGGGTTACATGCCAGGATCGTAAGTAATTCGCAAACAATTCCAAAACATTTTTATACTCGTACCGTCTCCTAGTAATTAAAAAACTAAAATTTACTTAATTTTTATTCCTAACAGAATCAGAGTCAATTAAATCTGAATAGTTACTTATCAATTGAAATTCTCCTTCGCCAAATTGTTTGTCTTGCGATTCTAATGAGAAGTCATATAAGTTCGATACGGGTGCAATAATTGTTTCGGCCTGGCTCACAAAAAACTTAATAGAGGTTTCTCTGGTCCTAAAAATATCACCCTCTTAGTCCCTTCATTCATGTGTATTAAATTCTGATAGAGAGAAAAAAACAAAACATGCTTTAAAAAGTCACTTATCAGCTTACAAAGGAAAAGTTCTACGCGTCCGCCTACTAAGATATATGTAACAGTTTCAGTGACGTTTCAAGATAAGGCTAGACAAAGGTGCTCTACTTCGCACTTTCAGATACTAATGATAACATATGTCCTTTTTGTTAGACAATTACGCATGTTTAGAAACAAATGATATTCGCTCCCGGATCTCAGCTATTCCGAGAACCGGGTGAGCTATACCCGCTAAACCACTTCGGGTAGTTCCAACACGACCGCATCTAAGAGGCTCGGTTAGCTCGGCGTTGGTTTATTCGTATTACGTTGATGTGAAATTACTACTAATTTGAACGTTAATTATGATCCCAACGTTTCGAGTGTTTACAACCGCTGATGGAACATAGTTTATTATTATATGATCACTAACTCATAGCTTTATATACCATAATATCAAATACGAGTATTAATTACTACTATTACAAGTTTTTTAGATTTTAGCCACAGATTACATCCGCTCCATTGATTAGATTAGTTGATCAGCCTTCTTGGCTTGGTTTTCGATTTTCAACTTGTGGAACGGCCTCAGCCCCGTTCCACAACTGAGCGTTTTTAAAGTAGTTTCTGCTGCGCACCACCATAATTTGAAACTAGCTGCCCACTGAACTATTTCCGAAGTAATTCGACGTAGGGTCCTTCAAGAAAAGAGCGTACCAATTCTTAAAAGTCCGGCAACGCACTCGCGAGACCTCCATTGAGTGTGACATCAGGTGAGCGTTTGCCCCTGTTCTATAAAACATTTTTTTTGGAACATGTCGGTTTCCTTAAGATACAAACAAAGACAACAATCTAGGCTTCAAATCACTACTTCAGTTTTACTGAAGGCTACTACGCTACTGATTAAGCGTGCTATTCTCAAAAACACTGCTAAATGTTAGATAATATTCTATAAAAAAAAAGTTTAAAAAGGTTTGAATTATTTTGTTACAAAGTGCGTTATGACGTATCAACATATCTGGTTAGTGAAGCGAACAAATAAAATATAACCCAGTAACTTAAATTTTGAGTCATTGAGCTAACTTCCATTATCAGTGAATTAAAACTATTCCAATTTTAAAAATTTAACAAAAAGTTGATATCTAACTACCTATTATTGTGGAGGTCACTTAAGTCGCTATCTATAAATATTTTAAAACCTTACCAAGAAAATAGTTTGTCACACTTCTCATACGTTTATTTGCTAGAACTATCCATATTACGACTAGGTTGCCCACAGTCGAAACAACGACCATACCGGCGAAAAGAACGGTCCAAAGAAGTTGTCGCCACCATGGTAAAATGAATGATTGGTAAACCTGAAAAAAAAACTTACAGCGTTAACGAAAGAGGAATGGGATGGAACAGACGTTACACTAAATCTAACAAAGCAAAGTCTAATTTTTAATAAATTCTAATTTTCTATATTAGATTTAATCACGAAAAAGGAAAGTTTTAAGTTAAGTATCTTACAACAACCAAGGTCAAAAGTAATACGTAGTAGTTGGTAGAACTTTTATTATTTTATTGTTTTTAACACAAAAATTATAATATGTATAAAATAATAATATTAATGAATATATGACATATTAAAATATCATATTCATAGTAATAAGAACAATTAAAATGGTTAAATAGAGAACTAAAATAAATTTAAAAAATACTGCAATACACACTGAATATGCAGCATATAGTTGTCAAAATCGTTGAAACGTACATAGAAAATGCTGCCAAATTTAACCGTTCAAAATATTTACCATATCGTTATTTACGCAAAAGTGCCTAAACTCAATTAACTGCCTGAAATGAATTGTGAATTTTTAAGTACTGGGCCAGATGGACGTTAACATTTTGAATACGTAGGATCGAAATTTTACGAAATTAATTTATATTCATAAGGTAAAAACTCTAGAACCCGAGATTGAGAAGGAATTGTTGGTCACACCATTATTTAATTATTATAGATAATTTCTGAAACCTTGAAAAGTACTTAGCTGCCCAGCATTTATCAGCCGGTCGTTAAGGAAATCTATGACGTAGCAAGTAAGTTTGAAATTTCGAATACAGCGCCAGTACTGTGTAACTTTCGCTAGCGATAGATTCTGTCTTGTATAGTTTTTGTACCGCGCTATTTGAAGACAACATATTCAGGGTACTACAACAAAATTGCATACACGAACATCGGGATCAATATAGCTCTCGCTATTGACAATTAAAAGCTGAACTCAGCCGTGAATTACCTGTGTAATATTCTGTGTGTTATTAACATATTGTCCGCTTGTCTGATCGTAGAATGTTATGTAGAAGTCTTGTTCATTCGTCGTGCTCCAGTTCGATGTGTCTGTCGGTCGTAACTCCTCCAGCATCCTGACATTACACCTGCGATTTCAAACAATGTCAGATATTGAAATTTTTTATTAATTAAGATATAACATCGCCTACGCTTTTTACGTATTATAATTTAGGTTACATTAAACTTTATTTTTTTTTTAAACTAAATGGTGAATGCTAAATTTTAAAAGGACTTGAAAACAATTTCTATTGATTTTACCGCCATTCTTTGTTTTCTCATATAATAAAGTTTATGCGGTAAACAGTCGCAGAAATGTGTCTGCTATGCCTGGCTTACTTCAATATAAATATAAATGTTTATATTTATTCTAAAAAGCACTCAACGTGAGAGGACTTAGAGTTTATTTTGGTGTTTACGTAACAAAGTAATCTCGTTCAAAATGGCTTCAGTCAAATGTTTGTAACATTCGGCGAAAGTAAATAAGTGAAAGTCGGCATTGTGTTAATGTTAACATATAGAAACATATCCGCGTCACATTCTTAGAATTTGCCAAATGTGTCTTTTTCTTAGAATTTGGAGCCAAACTAAAGTTTATACAGACAGAAAAGTAATAGAGAGTATTTTTCATTTAGCTTTTTATGGAAAATGTAGTTGATTAGTCTGTGTCAAATGTAGCAACAATAAAATATATTCCAGAGGTTTCCGAAATCTCCTATGACGTTTCTATTTTACTAATCAGATTTTTATAAGCGGATATTTATGAATTATAAACATTAATGTTTAGATTCAAAAGTTTTTATATTAGCTTTGATTACAGTCAAGTACAAGTTAAAGTGGTAAAAAGAGCAACTAGTTTTGTAAATTCTCAAACTTTAGTGGTATCGAAAGCGTTGTTCACTGAAAAACGCTTTCATGTTTGAATGAATGTTCAGTGTGCAATAAACATTATCTATTTCAAAGTAACACAAGAATTATACTAGTATAAGTATTAGTGGAAGGAAGGAGTTCGTTGACAAATTACCTGACAGCCTATAATATAATAATTATTCAAAATGTCATACGTCAAACGTCACGATGTAGATTGACTTATATCTGTGGCGGCTTCTTTGTTTGGATTGAGATATGTCACTACGAAATCAAAATTACAACTACGTTCCTAAAACTGTGCACGTGACTTTATATTTTAAGCAAACAAGGACGTATATATGTATGTTTAATTACCTTAAATAGTCTATTTTTGGTTGAAATAATTACCTATACCTTTTGTATTAGTGATATAATCAGCCGTTAATTAATGAGCCGTTAGAATAAAGCTCCTTCGTAAGTACCCAGGGAATTAGGAGGTTTAACAAGAAATTGTGGGTTTTTAGATAATATTAATTATACTTTATGAGGTTTGGATATTCAAAAATATTTTTAGAGGACAAACAAGAGTTGCATTTTGCTTTTCGATAATAGGGTTAAGCAAAAATATTTATGGATCTGCATTTTGATTATGATTCGATTCAGATTATAAAAAAGACACAAATGCCTATCGTAAGACAAATTTCTTTTTATTTTTTTTTTATTAATTACTTAAGATGTCATGTGGAACAACGACAAATGGTTGCACTCCTTACAAACGTTGTGTATAAACATGGATTAAAAAGATGGCGGACAGTATTGTGCCTGTCTTCTCTTCCGTTCTACGCCCTTGTTTAAGAACTGGCACTAATTTAAAGTTAGAAGCATTATTACGACGTTATGTTAGTACATTGTGTTACCTATATGATTAAATGATTTTGACTTTTGAATTCATATACAACATATAACTTATCAAACTAGAAAATCGGTTAAGAAAAACCAAGGCACAAGGATCTCATTAACTAAGCCATCCTCAAAATATCAGAATCTTGCGTTGATACTTCACTGGATTCGAACAGTGTCACTATCATCTGTCATACGATTAGTGTTGTGCCATTGCTTCGTCAGAGATACTGAAATCGATTTTTATTTTACTGTATAGGGTATGTGATGTGTTAGTTGCGGGCATTAATAATTATGATTTGGGTTGTAATATATGAAAAAACAATTTAAAATAAGAAAAATGTTTGTGTATAAAGTATTTAAGTTTTTTTCATATCCAACAATATCCAATATAATGCATTGTACTTTCTTTTAATTGTCTGTTATTTCTATCCAAATTGAAAAAAATATTGAATAGCTAGTTTCCCTTAAAACTATTAAAACCTATAGTAACCGAGAATTATATAACACAGTTACACCTTAACAAACTAGACGGCGCAATAACTTGTTCGTAAACCAGAAAACCACTACAGCAACGCCGCAGTCAAACTTTGTTTTTAATTAAACAAAATTCTGAAGTTTAGTATGAAGCCTCTAATATTGCCTAATATTTCAATAATTGTTTATGCTATCTGTTGAAGTATACTGTTATTTTTATAAACTACAGTATTTTTTATCTGCGTAATTTTAATTTCGCAGCTTTGCGTACCCTATCGATTCTATCCATCAACTAAACGTCTATTGTCGTTGGGGGTTTCATTGACGCATTTCTCATTTCTGTCTTCCAATTGAGTGAATATGATAGAATATATTGGAATCGGATATAATCAGGAATAGGCTTTTAAGCCGAGTGGTCATTAAATAGGACTTGTTTTTGGTTTCCGCGATTATACTTTATAATACACTTATTAAACGGACGGTTTCCACTTTTTCTAACTTATGTTATAATGTAAAGTTTTAGGTAACTTTAGAAACGTTTTTTTGAACGGGCAAATTGTATTTATTAACACTTTGTTCCATTTATAGTACATATACAAACAGATAACATAACTTATTAAAGAGGCAACGGTTGGTCTTATCGCTAGCAAACGATCTCTCCAGGCAACCCTAGTAAGGAAAAACATAAAAGAAACACTAAGGGTAAAGTGTAAAAAGTGCATAACTAAATTAACAAAAAAAACAAATAACAATGTGTACTTCTATAAAAAAATCAGTGGCGCTAAAACTTCTTTAGGTTTGGACCTCAGATTTCTGAATCTGTTTCACGATCATTTTTTTCAATCTAATAGGCAAGTAGGTGATCAGTCTCCTGTGCCTGACACACGCCGTCGACTTTTTGGGTCTAAGACATGTCGGTTTCCTCACGATGCTTTCCTTCACCGATCGAGCGAATGTTTAATGCGCACATAGAAAGAAAGTCCATTGGTGTACAGCCAGGGATCGAACCTACGACCTCAGGGATGAGAGTCGCACGCTAAAGCCACTAGGCCAACACTGCTCATTCGCTGAAGCCACTAGGCCAACACTGCTCATTGCTAATGTATATTACTATCGTTAAATATTAAAATATATAATATTCTCTACGAATCTTAACTTAAATATTTACGCAGCATCTTTACATAACTTTCAGCGTTGTCTTCAAACTATTAAGATGAAATGAGGAGCGAAATTCCAGATTACTTTTTCAATTAAGTGGAAGGGCACTTCAGCAAACAAATATCGTTGAGTAGAGTATAAATTAAATGTGTTTACGGCAACATAATGTTCGTGGTAATAAAGTGTAGGCGTCGGGCATTCTTTACGAAACAACTTTATGAGGTAAGAACTAATGACCTGGGGGGTGAGAAAACGAAAGATGACGCGTTTCGATTGATTGTAATTAGACAAAGAGAAAGATGGGTCGTATCGTGACTATTTGGATTAGAGATGCTGTTGACCTATCATAATCTTAATATATATACATTACGTGTCACTAACGAAATTACGACTCCTAAACTACCGAACCGATTTCAATCAAATTTGCACACCGTGTGCAGTTTGATCTAACTTAAAAGATAGGATAGCTTACATCTCAATTTATACTCGCAATATTATTTTATGGCAAAATATTTGTTTATTATTTGATAGTCACAACTCTAACAGATGGTGCTGTGTTGAAAGTACCAACGTTTCCCATAAGCTACAATTTAATGGCATTACCACCAAAATGGCATGGTGGTCCCCATGACTGGTGTTCTCCTACCGTTTCCCTTGAATAGGTTACCACTACGAATATAAAACCTTAGCCAAATCAACGCTTGGCCGGTCTGCTAGTTTAATTATATGTTCTAATATAATTGATGTGTTTGTGTGTAAAATTTGTGTTGTCATATTCGCTTGTATTATTATATGCATACGCGCTGTTATAGAACATATAAATAAATGCTCAAAGGATCCCTTTTGAGGCTCTGGTGATGGATTTTTGTACCGATTTTTTTCATGAAGTTATCAGATCAGACACTTACATATCATACAAATTTATTTCTACTAACTTCCAAGTAGTTGCCTGTTTTGTTTTGTTTTTCTTTCCTTATTTAGAAAGTTAAATTTGTTTGCCTACCCATACATATGTATGTACTTTTTGTTACCACTATATGTATATAATATGCACATCTTTCAGCAAAGTCATATATATATATAACTTTGCTGCGGAATGGAAGCCTGGTTATCCATATCACAGGTTCTTACCTAGTTTGGAAACCAGTCTCCCAATACCTTCTCAACTGTAATCTTATTGATTGTTGCAAATGTTATTGGGAGAAAATAAATTATTATTATTATTAAACTTTTATTAGCCATGATGCTTCAAAATAATCAGTGTAGATGATTTTTATGTGCAAGAACGTAACCATAGTGATAAATGGTGGATGTTTTTCAGTACGACGAATTTCGATTGAATCTTAGTAATATTTGTCAATATAATACCACATAGATAACATTTGGTCTTAATATATAATAAAAACATGAATATGAAATAACTAATAGCATGTATCTTCAAGGCATCTCCAGTAGTTGTACTAAGAAACAGATTCAAAGAAAAATGTCTACTTCATGAACATATCAAAGACAACAAAGCAGTTGTGCACCAGTCTAACTTAGTCTGAGTCTAAACCAGGAACGTACAAAGATAAGGAGCTTTGCAACATATGCTGTATTTCCTTTAACTATATATCTTTAAGTTATCAAAAGAGTCCTATCTCTTTACCTGTGTCAAGACCTAAATAGGTCAATTCATTCATTGGAAAGCAT